AAGATGGTGGGTGGGGGATGGGGGTTAGTATAGCAAGGAGACAACATTTCTAGACAATTTTTCACTTGATTTATCTGAATTTGTGCTAAATCTTAGTTAATTGAGCTTTAAATTAACTGAAAATACTGTGGAATTTTACATGTCCACTGTTAGTGACAAACTGACAAATCTTAATGAAGTTTGGTTATGTAATTGTATTAACTGTAACGCCAAATATTTTCCATAATCATGTCTTATAGAAGTTGACATTATAGGCCTATATGAATCATCAGAAGACAAATGTCACTCCAACATATAAATAAATGAACAACTAATGCAGAATTCACCAGTCGCTCCTGACCATTTATACAAGTTTTTAAATGTCCTTATACTTGCTGCACATTTACTGGCATCAGTGGAGTTGTAAACTGATAGAAATATGAATGGAGTTCTGTGTTTCTATATCAGTTTTGGTCCTCTACCATGTGGCCTGACTAAACTTACCCAAACTACATTCAGAAGTCAAGAGCTATAATGTTACTGAAAATCAGAATCCAAACATCAAATTGACACATAAACAGTCCAGCAAACAGATGGACAAGTGGCTCCTCATCAAGACAAAAAAAAAATTCTCTTTTGTCATGTGATGTGCAAGCTTACTAGTATCAATAATTAAAGTTAAATTAATCAATATCTGATTGGGGTTTGATATTTCAGTGTCAGTAACACCAGCATCACTCTCCCTGTGATGAACAAAAACCTCACACCAAGCTCCATTATATAAAAAAAATAATCTAAATTTTTTTTTTCTTGTCTCTTTCTTCCAGATTTTGAAAAGCTGTTGCCATCAATTATTCTGAACGGGACATAAATGACGGAGGACGCCATGCCAAATAGATCCCGCCAGTTCCGAGGATTTCTTTGCTATTGTTTTACTGAGAGGACAATAATGAATGTTAAACTGACAAAAATGCGAACAGAGTTTTGTATTCTGATCTCAGTAAAGCTAGCTCAGTCGGTTTTTTAAAAATAAACCAGGAGACACTCACGGCCAGAACTCCGTCCTCACTGATGACCAGGTACCCGAGCTGATCCGGGATCCGCTCCAGACCTGCAGTCAAAGCTGCTGTCGTCTGAAAACCAGAGACAGGGTTGGCTGAGGTGAAGCTAACAGGCTTACGGCTCATAGCTAATCTGAGTCAACTTTGAAGTCTGGGCAACACCAACTCAACAGTGAGAATAAAACAACATTATAAAAAAAGCTACAAATAAAAAAGAAAACATTCAACCACACTCGGACTCACCATTCTTCTTCTGTCTTCACAGGTTGGTGCAGCTCAACATTTCCGGCTTGCTCGGGATTTTCACGTGACTACTGAGGACTTCAGATGCTGTCGGAAATCACAAAACAACTGAAATTGAAAACACAAGCAGGTTTAATAAAACCGATTCGCTACAAATGTGTGTTAAGGATTACTTTCATGTTTATTTAATGATAAGCATAATTTAACGTGTATATATTTTTATTCGTTTTTTCTCTCCATTTTTTCTCCTTTATTATTCAGGCGTATGATAACCTAAACACGTTTCTGTAGTTTCTTTGAATTATTGTTTAAAAACGCGAAGAAAATAATGTACAATTATGCACACACAACCGTGACAAAAAGACCTGTATTGATAACTACATTGACAGTATAACATAAACTATGGTAAGCGCCAGTATCGGTAATACAACAAAAAAGGAGAATAATGAAGTAGTGAATAATAATAAATATTATTACAACAATAATAATAATAATAATGTATGTTTTCCCCCCGACCAGCAGGGCGCGCACACATAGCTCTAACTGCACTAACTAAACCGGAAGTATCAGTCAGCTGACTGTCATGTGATTGTTATGATCTGTCAGTGAGAAGATCAGTTGTTTTCTCCTTTTGGCTGTTAAAGCTCAATATTCCAGCACTCCGTGATGGCCGGCCGCGGGAAACTGATCGCTGTTATTGGTGACGAGGACACGTGCACCGGCTTCCTGCTCGGTGGGATCGGTGAACTCAACAAGAATCGAAAACCGAATTTCTTAGTGGTGGAGAAGGACACAAGCATCACGGAGATCGAGGAGACCTTCAAGTAAAGACAAATATTAGATATAAACTGTGGCATGTTAAGAAAAAATCCGTTCAAAAATCAGCCAATTTAAAGTTTTGCTCATCTTAGAGTAGAACATATGTGACCATCAGCGGACAAAAGTAAACTAATATTGATGGATACAGAAAACATCGTATGTTAATTTATTCAAGACAATCTTAGTTTTTTCTAAATGCAGAATCTTCCAACGTCAATAAGAATGTTAAATCGCTAGAAACGTGACTTGGGTCTGGTGTATTTGTCGTCAGTAATCCCATCTGTAGCTTCTCTGCGTATCTTGGATCCCTAACACCAAACCCCATTCAACCATCAAGCTGTTTTAAGTTTTACAGGCTGGCTATCTGTAGGATTATTAATCAACATTTGATGGTATTTAAGTTAGACCACTTGAGGGATTTTCTAAATCCTGAATTCTCCACACTTCTGTTAACTCAAAGTTGATGATAATTTCGTGTTCTGGTTTATTAATCCACGTTTTGCCGTTCTTTGCGGACTAAACTCTTTCTCTCCGCAGGAGCTTCCTGGCGCGTATTGACATCGGCATCATCCTGATTAACCAGTTCATCGCAGAGATGATCCGTCACGCCATCGACGCGCACATGCAGTCGATCCCGGCCGTGCTGGAGATCCCGTCCAAAGAGCATCCGTACGACGCGTCCAAGGACTCCATCCTGCGCCGAGCCAAGGGCATGTTCTCCGCCGACGACTTCCGATAAACAACTGTCAACACACACATAATACAAGTGTCCCTGATGGGAAGGTGGCGTATCTGTGTCAACAAACCAATATACTGATTTGTTCATTCCTCCTCGTGTGTTGTTTCTGTGGCTTGTAAACGAGTCTGTGTTAAAACTGGACATTTAGTTGATATTCTTAGTAACAAAGCGTTTTCAGGAAGCGGAAGTGTGACCCGGTCTCACGGTTTTTAGACAAACTGGTGATAAATTTAAAGTTTTCCTGTCTGTCAGCTGAAATTATCTGTGATGGAAACGGAGGCTTGTGTTTGTCTGCATTTGTTCCTGATACATTGCTTGTAAATGATTACAGATGTTAAATAAATTATCTTGTTGGTCATGTCTTTAATAGCTCAGTTCATTTTACATTTCATATCTAACATGTCTGAGAACCATCAAAGACGTGATAAGGTCAAACGCCATGAGATCATATATGTCTCTGTGTGTATATGTATATGTGTGTGTGTGTGTGTGTGTATATATATATATATATATATATACACACACACACACACACTGTCACCCTAATTTATACTAACCATATATAATATGGCCAGTGTGGATTCTGGATAGTTTCTGCATGTGCCACTGTTCTAGCGGCGTGTGCTGATGTCACGAGCACATCCTCCTACCTGCCCTGTAGACCACTGAGGCTGTTTCCCATGATTCATCCCACACAAACAAACTGATCCAAGGTCAGAGCTGCTCTCATGAACCTGCTGATCTGATAACGTGCAACAGTAAACAGTGAGACATTCATCCTGAGTATGGATGACCTTCTACCGAGGACGAATACTGTGAACAAACACTGACTGACCTCAGGCCTGAGTCTTTGTCCTTGAAACAAACTCAGCACTCAGTATAAAACCAGTGTTGGGGTGAGTCCCCTCCACTCTGAATGGCAGACCTCTCTCTCTCTGCCTGTCCTGGATCAGATGATGAAGTCTGTTCGGTCTCTTCTGACGGCGGTGGTGGTGGTGATGGTTTCTGTGTCTTCTGCTCCTCTTCCTCCTTCAGCCAGCCACTCCAGGTGAGAGCTAAACTGCACTGTTCACATCTGATCTGAAGGCAAATGGCTTGAATGAATGCAGGAACTCCAACTGGATGACCTTTGTGTTTCCTGTAGGCCTGATGATCAGAACGCCGGGCCTCCTCACCAGCTGGAGAACTCCTCCACGTGAGTCTGATGACTATGCCCTGTGTCACTGTGCTTCATCCTAATTACAAGACTTGTATCTCATTATAAAACGTACAGATCTCATACAAAACTGAGATGTTTTTAAATGTTACAATTACAGAAAAGCTGGCTTTAGCTTGAGATTATTTCATCATTAGAACAAAGACCACAGTGCTCCATCTTCTCACGTAACTACAAGATTTGTCTTTTATAATCATTATTTAAATCATTTGATATACAATCATAATTTTGGGCCTTCTAATAATGAGATAATCTTATTATATAAAAAAATGTTGTATTATATTTTCACAACTGTACTTTTACATTCCATAATTGTATACATGTATAAAATACAACTATGACAGTTATGAAAAAACTCTTGTAAATACGTCAGAACTGTTATCAGAAACCAGTTTGGAGATGAGACCCATGTATATAATTAGGATTATAAACTACCAAGACAAGAGTTTTAGCTGTCAAGCAACACTTCACTGGATCTCGTCGTTGCAAGATTGTTTACTAGTAAACATTTAGTTTGTGCTAGACTCGGCACGAAACAGACCTCATAAACAAATCTGGTCCTGTTCTGTGTCGGCCGCAGATCCGAGTTTCCTCAGCAGGCCAACACCACGCTGGGCGACTTCAGAGGGTCGGTGCAGGTGCCATCCAGACACAGGCTGAGACAAGACACCTCAGAAATATCAGTCATATCAGTTTGTCCATTCAGTGTTAAATGCTGAACTTCATTACAAAAATCATCGATTTTACCAGAGAGCACCCTTTTAGCAAAGAGGAATGTGTTGCTTTAAAAAATAGTTTGACACAGGTTTTTGTTTTTCTCAGGGACGTTTCACTGAACGACACGATGAACAACACAACGTATGATTTCCTTCGGTGAGTAAATTCTTTTTTTTTTTTTGTTTTGATTTTAATCACCTTTGAAATCAGGTTCAAACTGGTCTCACTTTTTTCCCTGGTCTGCACTTACACTGGCCAGACAGTAAGATATTCCTTTTTTTATATACACATGCATACCTGTATACTAGTTACAGGTAAATATCTGCTCAGGTGTGAAACCAGGTGTTTGAGAGAATCCGTATGACACAGGGCTTTATAGTCTGACCTCTGACCTCAGAGATAATGAGACTGACAAGTTGACAGACTGAAATGGTTCACTTTCTCAGCAGACGTGATTAAGTCACAATGCAGATCAGTTTGTTATTAACACTTTACCAAACCACTGTTTCCAGGCCAAGACTTAATGATCACATTCATTTGCTGCCCATTAAAACTGACGAAGGTCAACACCTGTGTGAGCTGGGAGGAAAATTCATGCACTGTAAAACACCAGATTTCATCATCTTAGTCAAAATTCTGCTCAAATCTGGAAAAAGAAGTGAAATTTTTTTAGATTCAGATGTGCACTTCCTCTCACCTGACATCTACACCTTGATCCATCTCCCCTTCAGCGTTTCACCCGAAGTCACTGTCTTTACCTGTCATCCCTTCACTGTCAGATCCACGTCCCAGCGTTGCTTCCTCCCCACCTGTTTGACGGCAAACCTTGGCTCCGACCTCCAGACCGGGGACTTGAAGGCCGGCGCCGCCGCCAGAGACCCATTTGGCGCTGGAAAGAAATGATATGAAGCAGCTGTTAATCTACAAATTCGTCATCGTAACCACAGCAGAATCATTTCGCCTAATCTGTTCACATTTTCTTCTCAGCTGAACAACTCAGATTTGTGGGTCAAGACTCAATAACTAATCAAGGTTATTTTAAAGGTCTGGTAGATTCACAAAATCAGAACTCATTTCTACTGTGTACATCTTCTGCTTATCAGATCACTAGGTTCAGTCAGATTCTGTAGGTGAACAATTCATGCTCCTAATTTCCCCAGATTTGATTTGATTTGATTTGATTTGATTTATTTATTCTTTCAAACATGTAACAACAGTCAGTATGTAATCAGTATGTTTCTAATCAATTTATTTAATATATTCCAAGTACCTCTCATGTTATTTTTATTATCCTCCAATACTTTAGAGTAATATTGTTTCTTACATCTCCTCAGGATCTCAGTTAATTTGTTCTTGTACGCCTTATATTTTGCTTCCGTCTTTTTTGATCTGTCTTTTATGAAATCCTTGTATAGTGCATTCTTCTTTTTACATGCATTCTGTAATCCCTTACTTATCCATGGTTTCTCTCTGTAATTCCTTTTGTTTTTATACTGCTTACGTGGGCAGGTCCTGTCATATACTTCCTGAAATATATGTAAAAATTGTTCATATGCTTTATCTAAGTCTTCCTCTCCATATACTGCTTCCCATTCCTGCCCCATTAATTCCTCCTTGAGCCTCCGTATTGTTTGTTCATTAATCACCCTCCTGTAGTACAGTTTTGCTGTTTGCCTTTCTTTTCTAATATGGCAGTCATAAACCAGAAATACAGGCAGATGATCAGTAATATCATTTATAAGTAATCCACTTGTCATTTTGCTTTCAATATCATTGGTAAATATATTATCTATTAGTGTCGCATGCTGGGCTGTTACTCTACTTGGTTTTGTGATTTTTGGGTATAAACTGCATCTGTGTAAAGTGTTGATAAACTCTTCCGTTCCTGTGTGCTTGTTAGGGTTTAACAAGTCAATGTTGAAGTCACCACATATGAACATTAGTTTATGACTTATTGTCAAATAGTTCTCCTCTATCCAGTCATTAAATTTTTCTATGCTGGCTCCAGGTGCTCTATAAATACAGCTTATTACAACCTTTTTCTTTTTTTTCATGGAAATTTCTACAGTCACACACTCCAGCAAGTTATCAATAGTCCTTGACATGTTCTCGACTTTTTCATAACAGAAGTTATTATCTACGTACAAGGCCACCCCACCTCCCGTCTTATTCTCTCTGTTTGTGCATACCAAATCATAGCCTTCAAGGTCAAAATGGCTTGGGAAGGTGGCTTCGTTTTAGACAGCTACGAAATAAATGTACACTCTTGGTAAGGAGGTCAAAGTCTGAATTTTATCTTGCTGAAATATCAAAGAGTATAAATGATCCTAAGATGTTTTGGAGGACTGTAAAATCTACTATGAACTCGATACCAACGAATGAGTTGCCATGTTTTTTGGTTAAAGCGGGTGTACATTTGACTGATAAATTGGTCATG